AAGCCTTGGCTAATAAAATGCTTTCTACAATGTATAGGCAATTCAGTGGCTCCAGTTAAGTACTTGTTATTGAAAATGTCTTACTCAACAACATTTATAGTGAAGTTTTTTTGAAGTTGAAGCAATCACTTTGAAGTAAATCACCCTTTCAAATTTGGATTGAAAAAGGGAGAGGAATAGCTTTTAGGCTTTTCTTCTTTTAATGTGACTATTTCTATAGATGGCTCCCTATGAAAATTAATGAAGTAACTTAGCTTTACAGGAAATGCCATTTAGAAGGACAAGAATTATAGACAGAGAACAAATCCTGTAATCTAAATAACAGAACTATTATTTATATACCTTAGCAATTGCAAAATGTATGTATGTTTTCACATAATTGTTAAAGTAGCATTAAGCAACACTGTTATTTTCTAAACCATGAGAGAAGACAGACAATCAAAAGAGAAGGATCTCTGATTTCTACTTCATGTTTAACCATTAAGCATAAAAAAGATATTCAAGGTCTGTATTGGAAATATACTAAAATCTAGAACACAAATGCTATTGTTAAGTTTTATTTGGTATTTACCTGCTCTACAAATTAATAAATACAAATTTTGCATTTACCAATGATCCCTAGTGATTTAAGAATGTTGTTTTTGTTGTTGTTATGGGCCGTTACGTTGGACCCGACTCATAGTGACCCCTGCTTGGGTTTCCGAGGCAGTATCACTATTGGACCCAACTCATAGCAACCCCTGCTTGGGTTTCGGAGGCAGTATCACTATGGAAGTAGATTGCCCCATCTTCCTTCCGAGGAGTGGCTGGTGGGTTTGAACCGCCAGCCTTCTGGTCAGCAGTCAAGTGCCTTAGGCACTATGCTACCAGAGAAGAGTATGCAACATTAATTCCTTACTCTGAAAACAAGTAATTAAAGAACCAAGCATGTACCCTGACTTTTCAGGAGGGGCTGTAATTCATCCCTGGCTGATGAGGGAAAAAAGTGCTTCTTTACCTTACCCAAGCCATTAAACAGCATTACCAATAGTGAGCCAACCTGACATTACAGGATAGACTATAAAGTGTTTGTAATAATTCATGAACATTCTTGCTGAAAATCAATATGGATTAAGCCTCTAGACCAGTTCAAAAGAAGTACAAAGGATAAATAAACCTAGAAAGGTTCTAGACTGAAAACATAACCTAAAATGACATTTAGGGGACAATGAGGAAATCTGAATATGGACTGACTGGATAGTAGATGATATTAGGAAATTGTTGTAAATTTTTGGTGTGATTCATAATACTGTAGTTACATAAAAGAAGGCCCTTGTTTTCAGGAGTTGCATGTTGAAGTATTCAAGGATGAAGTACCATCATGTTGGAGAATTTTGTTGAAATGAGTCAGTAAAAAAATAAACACACAGGAGATAAAACAAATATGACAAAATGTTGAATCTAGATGGTGGGTATATGGGTAATCACAGTAGTAGTTTTTTAAACTCTTCTATAAATTTGAATAATTTTACAAGTTGAGAGAAAGAAAGTACTAAAATGGGAGAAATAATCGTACAACAGTCATGGTTTAGGAAGTGACAAAAAGAGTCCCTGACTGCAATGGTATCTGAAATATTTGATTAAGGAGACAGATGGCTTTAGAGTTAAGCATGAAGTCTCCAGGTGAGAGCAAGGGTTCAAAGAACCCTCATATAGAGGTAGGCACTGCCAAGAGAAGGGTTTCTAGAGAGAAAAGCATAGGGAAATCCTAAGATGGCAATATTTCAAAGCTGGAGAATTAAAGAGTTTGTCATCAGTGTTACCTTTGAGATCAGCAATTAAATTATATTGTCAACATTAACTCTTACCTCATGTTTTAATCTTAAAATTCTCTTTTGTGCTTTAGATAAAAGTCATGTATAGATAAAAGTCATGTACAATGAAAGAGATACATATGTCCTTAGTCCTCAGGGTCAAATATAGCCCACTTTGTCCCCAAGCTTAAGGCTAAGTCTACACAAATTACTAGGTTAATCGTTTTCCCGTAAATTTGTAATGGTCAATTGTGGAACAACCACAGGGATTCTAACTGTGCTGATTTCAGTCATCTTAATAATGGAATTGATTGACTATAGAATCCCATCAACTGCCTAGCCATCTGCCTTTATTACCACAGGAAAAATGAATCAATTGGAAAAAGGTCAATTCAGTCAGGCCATGGAACACTGCTGCCACTTTTCTGGAAGGAGACCCTTGTCATCAGAGAGAAAAATACAGAAGCACTAGCTACAATAACACAGGAGTTTCATTACACCTGTCCTCTTAAATTGAAGTGGTAAAGTTAAACGCATGCCTAAGTAATTGTCTATAGGTCAACTCTGGCTTCAGGCTCAGGATCTCACGTCACAGCTACTTTTTACTTTCCAAACTCTGGTTCAGACTAAGTATGGAGACAGGAAAAAGTTTAACTTTGTCCTATAAATATAGGTAGGAATACGTCTATGAGGAAGTACGAAAATAGCTCATGAATTTTTATCTATTTCTTTTTCCTTCCCATTAGAAAAAGAGTGAGTTATGCAATTTTATTTACTAGATGTTGTTGTTATTGTTATGTGCCGTCGAGTCAAAACCGACTCATAGTGACCCCTCCTTGGGTTTCCGAGGCAGTATCACTATGGAAGTAGGATTGCCCAACCTTCCTTCCGAGGAGTGGCAGGTGGGTTTGAACCGCCAGTCGTCTGGTTAGCAGGCAAGTGTCTTAGCCACTATGCTACCAGAGCTCCCATATTTACTAGATAGGCAAGTTCAATTTGAGTCTGTTTCTTTACTTATAGAACAGGAATAATATATTGGAAAAACAGTATTAACAGATCTGGCTTGGCCTACTATAAATGGTTTGGAGAAGGTGAAATGAATACTTTGAAAACTGTCTTCCAATAAAACAAATGATTTAAAAAAATATCATTTATTTAAATTATATTTTCATTTGGCTTATGGCTATCCATATTCCATACTACAACATAAAAGGGGAAAAATAAAATTGGTAAGATTATATTATTATTTGGCTATCCAGTAAAAATCTTAATCATGTTAGACATAATCACAGGCCATCCCTTCCACAAAACTAAAGGGGTGTGTGTATGTGTCGGTATGTATGTGTGTGTGTGTGTGTGTGTGTAGGTGTGTGGGGGTACATGTCTGTGAAAGGCCCAATTTAGATGAAAAGGAACTGAAAGACACAATCCTTGATGGGGTTCTGCATCAAGCAATAAACAAAAATTAGAAAGAATATTTTGGAGACAACTAGGGCAATTTGCTTTGTATATTAGACAACAACTTATTATCAACAATAAATTTCTTGGGTATAATAATAATATTATGTGCGAAGGAAAATGTCTTTGTCCTCAGGAACAGCATGCTGAATTATTCAGAGAAAAAATGTTCTACTATTTTTAATTTACATTTGATTGGTTCAAAAAATGTTGTAAATTATCTAGACAAAAAGTAAATGTGGCAAAATGTTAATAAGAGCTAAAGAGTCTAAGTAAAGAGTACACCCACTGCCATCAGGTCGATTCTGGGGGATACAGGTGCTCATTATTCTATTCTTTCAACTTTTCTGTGTGCCTGAAATTTTTCAAAAGAATAAGGTGAGGGATGGGAACCACTGCATAATCAAAACAAAATAGAAAGTCAGGCAAGAAATTAAAAAAGTGTCCATTTTTCAATAATGAAATTATACACTTTAGAAACCTAGTTTTCTAAACCAAAATAAATTCACTATGTTATAATATGGAGGTATTATTCATTTATGTTAGTTAAGGGCAAGAGTAATCTTCCTGATACACAAAAGAGATAAAGTAGGGAGACTTAATTTTATAATAAAGAATCTCTTTCATAATAAAAGATTTCCTTTAAGTAATGAGCAGTAGAATTTCTAAACATGGGGTAGAAATAAGCAAAATGTTATTGCTGGAAAAGATCATAGAAATTAACTGAAGTCCTCATAGATTAGCAGGCAGGTTGCCACATGTTTTCAAGAACACAACTATTATGTAAAAGGGCACACAACTTTACATTTCTTTAAAATTTCAAATACAAGTAGAATACATAGATTGAACAGATACCATCAGGTTCATTTCTTTTTATTTATCATACACTTCAATTTAATCATTGCAAAGGCAAGCAACCTAAAACAACTAGAAACAATTAGATGCAGTCCATAGGCAGAAAACATGGTATTCAGTTCTAGAAGTGCCATTAAAGTATTCTGTAACAGGAATGCTGTGAAAAGGGGAGGGGAGTTCCCTAATAAACACTAGATTGGGATGAGAGATGAAGATAAATTTAGGATAGCGGGATAAAAGAAAACAAGTCTGCCTTATATTGTAAGTTTTCTTACAGATTTTTAGGTGAAAAAATTTTAATTAAATTTTAATAGCTTCCTTTGTATCAAACCAGCATATACTTGGTAAGATTCTATAGATAGGGATAGTACTGCTTTTTAAATGCAGTGCAAGCACTCAGCTATTCAATATAAACAGACTGTCAGGCTTTCCTGTCCTGACAGAAGCTTGGACAATTGCCCACCAATCCCAAAAGAAATCAGAAAGTACAGTCAGAAAGTCTTTTTTGGGGCTCATCTAAATATTAACTAAAAAAAAAAAAAACAAAAAAAAAAAACCATAATATGAACAATTTATATAACCCTGATTAAATTAAGCCATAAAAATGTAAAATATCCTGTTAATGCAGAGTTACATTCTTTGGTTTAAAAGGCATTTACTGGTATAGATAAATCATTACTATGTTTTCTTAGAAAACATGCAGTATTTCTTTAAATAGACAAGTTCTGTAATGGAAAGAAAAACAAGCAAGAACAGATGTAATTATCTTTATGAACTAACCTATATTTAGCAGTCATTCCTTTATTTATAAGATGTTATTAATGTAAGTTGTATAGCAAAGGACAAGCTTTATAAAGTGGCATATTTTTATTTTCTAAATAGCCTTTCCTTTACCTTGTTAATGGGCACTACCAAGGTTGGTTCCACTTTAGCTTCAATTTCTTCTGGGGTGTAAAAACAATAGAGTTTACCCCCTTTTAAAACACAATATAACCTTCTCCAACTAATCAGACCTTCTACCACTTTCTGAAAAACAAAAACAATTAATAAACTATCAACTTTATCATTATTTATAATTCAAACACTAAATTTGACAAAATACTTAAAGCATCAAAGTTAAATTCATTTCTAGAATTAATGTGATAGAATTACCTATGAATTCACTGTGCAATAAGACATTGCCCAAAATCAAAGAGTAAGCTAATACCAGAAAAGAGAAGTCTGGAATTCTCAAAAGTGTCAAGCAAAATGGAAGTAATAATTATCAAATAACTTTTACACACATAAAATCATAAATCAATGCAAATTTAGAAAAGCTACTCTATTAAAAATTAGTGCTTAGAATTCCATGGCAATTTATCAAATGATTCAGGAAAATTACAAAAATAACTCCATGTTCAAAATATAATTTTCCTTTACTGTTCTCACAACACTGGAAAATGTTGACTACCATGTAAGAATGCAAATTTTCTTTCCTCCTAATGGAATCTTTTAGAAAAAGCTATTGATTCATTGAAGCTCATAATTAATTATTTACTGGATATAAATAACTATGGTTATAAATAAATCAGGAGTAGGTGGCACAGAAGCAGCTTTGGAAGCCCAGAGGCCTACACTGTGCCAAAAGTCCTCTGCCAGAAAGGCCTTTATGCGAAAAGTGTTGGGCAGCACACATCAGTCTCTACAAGGAGTCCTCTGTTGTGCTGATTATCCTGGAACCGCTATTAATGAAGCAGGGGAATATGGAGAGGTAACTCCTTAGCCAACAAAATTGCATTAGACCCCTCACCTTGTACGCTTTTCTGACCCCCCTATCCCTTATGCCTGATAACATTTAGAAAACTGACATTTTAAGAAGACTTTAAGAAATACTTCTCAATACTAGAAGGCCAAGCAATGCCATATATAAGATTTTAACTGGAGTTACTATTGTTGGAGGTTATCAAAAGTCCTCTAACCTGCTGATTGAGAAATCCCGCAAATGCATCCTCAGCCATGCAAGCTGGCTGGGCAACTAATCGGCAGCACATGTTGCCATATAAGGGAAGCCAAAATGAAGACTCCTCTATTTAAAGGAGAGAGAAAGAGAAACAAGTTACAAACATGTTTATTTAAGATCATTACACATTTTAATTGCTTTTTATTTATTTATTTTGCTTTGTACAACAAGATATTTTTAAATTACTTTTATGTAAAGGTTCATCCTACTCAAAATAGCAGCACTAAATTTAATGAGAAAAATAACAGAAAGAAAAAGAACAGGATGGAATTAAACTGTGGTTTATGGCATGCTATCACCTGGAATAAAACATGGAACTTTTAGTGTTTTAACCTCTTTTTTTGATCTTTAATGAAGTAGTTAATCAAACTGTACACAACTTTACAATAATAATTCACTAGACTTTTTGGCCTTTCTCCTTCCCTTACTGAAGCTCTTCTATTCATGAGAATGAGTTACAGAAGAGCTTTAAGTTTTACGCTAGGGAGGGACAGATTTACATTTGGAACCAGGGGAGCAGTGTAGCAACAATTCCAGACGAGAGATGAAGACCTAAATGAGGGTTGGGGTAGAAGGAGAAAATGAAGAGGAAGAAGTACACAGGGAGGTATTTCAAGAGCAAAATAGGCTACCATTGCTGACCGCTTTGAAAGGCATCACAACAGGAGGTCCCAGATAGAGTGGGAGAAAAATGTGCAACAAAACCTGCAATCACAAAAAAGTCCAGGCTTACTAGTCTGATGAAGACTGATGGGACCCCTGAGATTATGCCCTTTAGATACCCTTAAAGGCAGGAACTGAACTCAACCCCCATGGCTCAAGTTGCAGCCAACCAATAAACAGGCCTATAAGGTAAACAGTGATATCAAGAGGGTATGCACTCACTAGAATAATCAACCACAAGAGATCAAAGGGCAGCATTTGCCCAGGAATAGAACTAAGAAGGCGGAAGGGAATAGGAAATAATAATGAAGAGACATGACGGGTGCAGGCAGGAAGTGGGAAGAGTGCTGGTGCACTGTGGGGATTTCAGTGAATGTCACAAAACAGAATGTACAAGGATTGTTGAATGGAAATCAATTTGCTCTGTAAACTCTCACTCAAATCACAACTACAATAAATAAATAAATAAACAGCAGGATTCTGTATTAGATAGGATATAGTAAATGAAAGAGAGAGTGGAATTAAGGATGAAAGCAAGTGGCAGGAAGAGTTTTTGGGAGTGGGATGGAAATGATAAGATGAATTTTGGATATGTGGAGTTCAAGCTAAGTTGTTAAACACACAGTCAAGCCCTCAGGTGGAGACCACCAATATAGGCATTTGTGCCAGGGGCTGAGGAAGAAGTTATGGTGTGCCATTGCTGAGTGTTGAAGCAGGCAAGATGAGAAGAGTAAGTACGAAGGGTGCCTGGCACGAGGTGTCAGAGCCTGAACAGGCTGAGGAGGACAACTGGCAGGGGTGTCTGTCTGTCCTGAGTAGAGTGAAGAGGGTGTCACTGTGGAAAGGGCAGCCTGAGTTAAGATATCAGAGCCCAAGGTTGGTGTTTATCAAGGGAGGTGGCCTAAAGTGAGAAGTCAGGGACCAAGCAGGCTGAGGGAGGGTTTATGTGGATTACCTGCCCTGTGTGAGATATCAGAACCCAAACAAAGTAAGAAGAATTCCACATGTGGAGAGTATTCCAGCCATGGTAGCAGTGAGGAGGCTATCTGCACATGGGGTGATTCAGTGCATTGTGTCAGAGCCCTGAGTCAAGTGAGACCAGCATTCAGAAGGGCAGTCTGAGAAGGGTGTCCATAGGAAGTGAAAGTGAAAGTGAAAGCAGCTAGGCATGAAGGGCAGCCATGTGGAGAGGTGACCTGGTGTAGATTGTCAGAGCCTGAGCAAGGTGAGGAACAAGGTCAGGGGTGACCCAGAATTGGGAAAGAATAATATTCACGTGGAAGAGATGGGCTTTTGGTTGGTCTTAAAGAGATTGACTAAAGAAAAAAAATGTATTAACCATGGTAAAAGATAGGTTTCTCACTGTCAGAGAAGTGAGTTACAAATGATTATAATAAACTTGGTGATACTAGTTTATGAACCCGATGTACTGGTGTGAACTCATGTTTTTCACCACATACCAAAAAAAAAAAAAAAAAAAAAACCAAACTCACTGCCATCTATTTGATTCTGACTCACAGCGACCCACTTTGGGTTTCCGAGGTGGTAAATCTTTACAAAAGTACATTACCCAGTGTTCCTTCCACAGACTGGCTGGTGAGTTAGAACTGCCAACTTTCTGGTTAGCAATCAAATGTCTTAGGCACTACACCACCAGAGCATAGAGAGAGGCCAAAATGCCTTACTCACTTGTCACCTGAGCTCCTTATAAAATAAATACATATGGAGTATGTGTGTATGTGTGTGTGTGTTTAGTTCTACCCACTGAGAGAGCCTAGGAATAACAATGCCCTAATAGCACTGAGTAGGGGCAGTTGTGGTTCAGTGGTGGCCTTCCATGTGGGAGACATGGGTTCAATTCTTGACCAATGCACCTCATGTGCAGCCATTACCCATCTGTCAGGGGAAGCTTGTGTGTTGTTGTGATGCTGAGTAGGTTTCAGCAGAATTTCCAAATAAGAAAGATTAGGAAAAAAGGATTGGAGATATTCCAATAATCAGCCAATAATAACTCTATGGATCGTAATAGTCTGGTCTGAACTGGTTGATCATGATGACGCTGGCTCAGAAATAGGCATGTTTCCTTCTGCTGTTCAAGGGCTCATTGTGAGTTGGGGGCCAACTCGATGACAGCTAACAACAACAACAACAATAACAATAGCAATGAGAATGCCTAAAGCCCAGGGGCTGCCTTCTAAATCCTATTCTCCACTAAAATTAACCAGGATTCCTTGGAGAAATAGCTAATTTCAGGAAATGGATAGTACACAATGAGCCTGGAATATCTTGCTGTGCCATAAAGCAAGAAAGTGCTCAAAGAATGATGGGGACGTGTCAAAAGGACATTACGGCCATCTTGAATATATTCCCACTGGCCCAATTGGGGACATTATGAACCTCAAAATAAAGAAAGAGATTAATAGATCATGACCCACTGAATAAAATTAGGAAAATACAAGTCCATGCTGATATAAATAAATCAATGAATAAATTTAACTTCTAATAAGGGATAGGATTCTTACATAGAATACCTCCAACACACACCCAAGTCACAAATTAAATACAAAGTGAAAAAGAGGAATTTTACAGTAGAGAAGCTTGTCAGACACCATCTTAACGAGTGATTAAAATGAACATAATCAGTAATAAAGCAAATGAAAATTATGTGCCCCCTGACAGGCACATAACTTCTGAACGCAGTAGCACTTTTGTGATTAAGAAAAAAAAAAAAAAAAGCCCTCACTACCACTGAGTTGGATCCAACTCATAGTGACCCCTCCTTGGGTTTCCAAAGTGGTATCTCTACAGAAGTAGACTGCCCAATCTTCCTTCTGAGGAGTGACTGGTGGGTTTGAACCAATACCCTTCTGGTTAGCAGTCAAATGCCTTAGGCACTACACTGATACTCCTGTCAAAAATGCATATCCTGCATCTAATACTGAGACAACATCAGATAAGTCCAAACTGGGACTACAAAATAACTATTACTTTTAGAAATGCCAAGGTAGCAAAAGCCAAGGAAAGACCACTTCAGATAAAAGGAAACTAAAGAGGCATGATAACTAAATGCAACGCATGATTCTGCACTGGATCCATTTGCAATAAAGGACATTATTGGGTCAATGAGTGAAATGTGAATGGAGTCTGAGGATTAGATGGTGGTAATGTATCAGTATTATTTCTGGACTTGAATAGTTGTACTGTGGTGCAGGATTAGTAGGAAATACATATTGACATATTTGGAGTAATACATCGAACCAAGTAAGCAAGTTGTTTTTGTATATTTTTTTGGGGGGGGAGGGGAAGATTTGGCATCCAACTTGCAACTTTTCTGTAAATTTAAAATTGGTTAAAAAAAAAGAAAAAGCCATTAAGACACTCTTGATACGGTCTGCAGGTAGGCACACATAGTCTTCCTTTCTATATGAAAGGAAAGCATTGCATATGATAATGCATTCCATTTATTAGAGTTTTAATACATATCAGCACATGGCCCTCAGTTCACACTGCAACACACAAAATCCAATTTTAAAGTTTTTTTGCACCCTATTGGTAGTGCCAATAAGATGGTTAGTCATTCACTGCTAGTATTATTACGAAAAAACCTTGGTGCTCTGGTAAAAAAAATATGGTTAGTTACTAAACAGATGCAAGGTAGCAAGGTTTGGTACATCAGTTAAAGGCAAAAGAACAACTATCTAAGTGAATAATACAAAGTAAACAAAAAAGCTTTTAGCAACTTATATATCCAACATTCTATTAGAGAATCACACACAAATTTTCCCAGACTATTCGAATTTTTTTTCTTAGTAATATTTTGTAAAGCTATGAGCTTTTAGAAATAGAAGGTTTGACCTGAGAGAAATAAATTCATAAATATAGAGATAAATAAAAATAAGTAAGAATCTCATTTCCTAGAATAGGCAGAATCTGAAATAAAAATTCTATACAAGCATGCATCTAAGTAATACATCTGAAATCAACTTTCTGACTTATGAATTCAAAGTTTAAAAGCAAAATTCTTTATACAGTAATCCTGATGCATGAGTGGCTTACATTCGATGTAGCTCTAAACTAGTTGTTTTTAAGTTAGAATGTACTTCCTAAAGTAACAGAATCATAAATGATGACTAAATTCTCAGACAAGTCCATAAAGTTTGTGCAATCAATAATCTATCTGGAACCTAAATATAACATTTAACTATTTGTTTCTCTGGTAAAATAAGTTCAGATTTCATAGCACATCAAGAACACTATTTACTTTCTAATTATAATTCTTAAATGGGGATATTGGATTTCGAATTCTTTGCTCTGCGGTTCTCTTGCCACGTACCCTGCAGTCATCTGCTACTTCTAATCTAGGACCACTGTGGAATAAAAATGCAGAGACACAGATTTGTCTCTACTCCTGGCAAGAATTATGGCATCCAAGATAGTCACTACATAGTTAACCTGTCCAAGTATCAGTTCCTCATTTTTTAAATATCATCCTATCGTAGGGGGTTGTTGTGAAAAATTAAAGAAGATAATGTGTAAATAACATTTATCATTGTGTCTATGATATAATAGATGCTTTCCATAATCGTAAATCCAGGAGAGTATGACTCCCAAAACCATACCCTTTTCATTTTTTCCATGCTGCCTTTAAGTCCTTGTGCAACACATTAATCAAAATACTTACTACTTCTTTTCTAGGCTGGGAAGGTGTTAGAGCAAGATGAAATGTAACAGGAGAAAGAGAAGTATGACTTTCATTACTTTATGATTTTACGTAATTCATCCACAGCTTCAAATAAGGAACAAAGGAGTCAAAAACAACAACAGGCAGGAGAAAGAAGCCAGATAACATCTCACTTCCATGTGAGTTAATTGTTCATAATGTGGTTTCATTAACTTATAAAAACTACAGGCAGTGCCTGAGTTAGGAACGTCAGACTTAGGGACAACTCCTGTTGTTCTGTTGTTGTTGTTGTTGTTATGTACCGTGGAGTCAACCCTACTCATAGAGACTTCTCCTTGGGTTTCTGAGGTGGTATCACTAGGAAAGTAGATTGCCTAACCTTCCTTCGAGGAGTGGCTGGTGGGTATGAACCGCCAGCCTTCAGGTTAGCAGTCAAATGCCTTAGGCACTATTCTACCAGAGCTCCTGGGACAACTCCTACTCGCCCTTTAATGTTATGTACATTTTCCCTCACTTTGAACTCCTGAACCAACCACTATTCTCAACAAACTCTTCATCACAATTACCTTCACTTGATGCACGTGTAGCTTTTAAATTAGTGAAAAGGCTTGAGTCTTTTCTTGTACTAAAACCCATTTTTTGAAAAATAATAAACCATTGCTGTTGAGTCAATTGCAACTCATAGTGACCCTACAGGACAAAGTAGAGCTGCCTCACAGGGTTTCCAAGGCTATAAATCATAGTGGAAGGAGACTGCCACATCTTTCTCATGTGGAGTGGCTGGTGGGTTCAAACCTCCAAGCTTTTGGTTAGCAATTGAGTGCTTAACCACTGTACCACACCAGGGCACCTTTCTTGCACTAAAGTAGTCTAAATAAAAACCACATATGCACCTGCTCTGACTTACCCACAAATTTTTAAAGGAACAGATCATGTTTGTAACCCAGGACTGCCCATCAAACATTTCTTGATTTCAAATATAAACCTTAAGATATCACTTTGGCTGTTCCCTTCAACTAGCAAGAACAATAAAACTGAGTTATAATTTTTTTTTTTTAATTTCCTGTTTCATCTTCATTCTGTAGTATTTAGTAGATATTGATATAAATTTATTTAGGTAAACCTATTATTTTAACATACTATTACATTAATGAGGGAGCTCTGGTAGCATAGTGGCTAAGGCACTTGACTGCTAACCAGAAGACTGGCAGTTCAAATCCACCAGCCACTCCTCGGAAGGAAGATGGGGCAATCTTCCGTAGTGATACTGCCTAGGAAACCCAAGGAGGGGTCGCTATGAGTCGGGGCCGACTCGACGGCATGTAACAACAACAACAACATTACATTAATGAATAAATGAAGGGGTGAGTTTTTTTCTTTATACAATTTTATTTTTTAATAACAGGCTTTCTTCTTTTTCAAAATATGATTGATTTATAAGACATCAATTTATACACACGTCCAGGAGTATGCGTATCACACAAAAGAGTTAGGCATATAAGTTGGTATTTCTAAAAATTTGTTCAATCTTCAAGTTCTAATGTTAAATGAATTTGGATAACATTTTTTGGGGGTTTTGTTGTGTAAAGGATAAATCTGAGAAAAAGGTAAAAACAATATTTTAACTTTATATTAATAAGTATTATTAATGAAATGTCAAGAGTAGTTTCCAAAAGATGAGAAACAAATGTAAAATTTCAATTAGGACAAGGAAAGATTGAAATGATAAAAGTAATTAATCCTTGGAAAAGAAACACGGAACATAGAGGACAGAGAAGCACAAGGTGTGATGGTTGGTAAATTCAAATATCTAAGTGTTGGACATTAAATGTCAAGGAATTAAATGCTACAGTAAAGAAGGAAGGAAGGAAGAATGTCAAATAAGATAAAAACAAAAATCCAATGTAATGCTATGTGAACAGGCACGCATATAAATAAAAATAAGGAAAGGTTAGGGTAAAGTATGGAAGAAAACACACGATTAAAATTTTTGGTACATAAAAACAACAAAGAGTCAAGTTATGTTAATCAAATAGGAACAGAACAATGAGAATTAGAAAAATCCACAATCACAGTAGGCGACTTTATCACACTTCTCTCAGTAATATAGAGTATGTAGATTATAATCATTAACAACATACAAAATCTGAACCATATTCTTAACAAATAATTAGATACATAGAACATAGTATCGAATGATATCAAAATACATGTTCTTTTCAAAGATAACCGGAACATTTATAAGAACTGGCCATATACTGGGCTCTAATACAAGTTTCTACAGATTTCAAAGGTCTAAAATAAAAAAAGTATGTTATCTGACCACAAAGCTCAAGTTAAGCTAGAAGATGATGTTACATTTCATAAATTAGGGAAAGCATTTAAAAATAGCTCAAGTTTTAAATCATTATGGAAATTAGAAAATATTCTGAAGTAGGAAATACTATGTGTCACAATTTATGGGCTACAGCAATATTTATGGGATAAATACAGTGGTATTTATAGAGAAACTTATAAATTTAAATGCACATATTGATATTAGATAAGAAAGGACAAAAATCAATGAGATTAGTACCTAATTCAAGATGTCAGAAAAAGCATCACAAGATAAATCTCGAGAAAGTAAAAGGAAAGAAGTAAGAAATTAAATAAATTTTAAAAATAAAGTTCTCACTAGGTAAAACTAAACTGGGGTCTTAAAAGCTGACGAGCTGCCATCCAAGATACCTTTGGTCTCATCTCATCAGGAGCAAAGAAGAGTGAAGAAAATTAAAGACACATGGAAACAAATAGTCAGGGTTCTATTGCACCACGGAACCTCAGCCTGCATGACTCTGACACTAGAAGAAATAGATGGTGCCTGGCTACCACTGCCAACCACTCAGAAAGAAATCAAAATTGGAGTTTCTGGATAGAGCAGGAGAAAAATGTGGAACAAAACTCAAAATCATAAAAAAAAAAAAAAAAAGACCAGGTTTACTGGTCTGAGAGAGACTGGTGAAACCCCTGAGACTATGGCCCCTTGTCACCCTTTTGGCCTGGAACTGAACTTACTTCTGTCGCTTCCAGCCAAACAACACACAAAACTACAAGGTGAGCAACAATCAACCATGGGAGATGAGAAGGGCAGAAACTGCGCAGGGAGATACCTCCGAAGGCAGAAATGCATAGGAAAAAGGACACAGGGAAAAGGTAACCACAGGGAGGAAGTGGGAAGACAGCTGTTACATTGTGGGGATTGTAATCAATGCCATGGAACAAAATGTGTATGAACTGTTCAATGGAAAATGAATTTGCTCTGTAAAGCAAATATCACAATAATTTTAAAAAAGGATGACGACTACATCATTACATTACTGTCAAATTATATCAACATATAACTGCTAAATTTCATCATTATATAACTGCCAAATTACATCATTACATATTTGCCAAACCACTGAAAATCATGGCCCAGACAAGTTGACACATAACCTTAATCACTACAGCCAGTGCAACTCTTGCCTTGTACCTCAGTGTTCATTACTGTCAGACATACATCATTAATAAAAAGAATAGTTCAATAGATTATTTTACTATTCATAAATGTGAAATGTCAGATAACAAGACAGTCGATAAATGAAGAGGAGTAGTATAATTCTTGACATGAGAATAGACAACTATTCATCTAATAATTATTTATTGAACTGTACATTTACATTTTATGCACTTCTATTTTTTACTTCATTTTTCATTATGAAGTTAAAAAATAATCATCAATCTCATCAGCTGAGAGCCAACAACCTTTACAAAGTTAAAGTAGTACAAGGTAGTGAGTGCACTTACCACATTATTTACATATTCAGAAAATAAAAATAATCCAAATTATATTTCTAAACTACTTCACCATATTTTTCATCATTGGTAAAAATAATCTTGGGAGTGGAGAGTGCTCCTGACAAGTTTTACAAACCTTCCTCATCACCTAACTGTATTATTCCTCTTACTATACATTTCTCTTGGACAAACTGCAGCTATTACTGTGTGGAGAGAGAAAAAGGTTACAATTAACATACCTCTATCTGCTTTCATATCCTCTGCTTCCTACCAACAAAAAGGCTAACTTCCTCAATTTCAAATTTAAAAGTAAAATAGGTATTTGAAGGGTGGTGAGATGATCAATTTCAAGTCGAAGACAAGGATTCAGAACACCCAAACCTTTCCAGAGTCACTAAGTGAGCCTCACAAATAAATCTTTGGCAAAGAGCCTTGATAGAGCAAACTAAAGTTTTCTTCTTTGAGAAAAGGGGCAGACATGTTTCAAAGAACCCATAGGTCACTTATGCCTGCAATATTTAAGCCCGTAACTCTTTCAAGGAAACATATTAAAATTAGAAATTACTGACACCACATATGTTTATGTATAATATATGTAATAAGTAAAATATATAATGTACTTACCACTTCCATTAATAGACAGATTATGGGTCTTGAAGCTATCCTCAGTACTTTCCAAGGTCAGAGTAGTATGAGCTAGCAAATTATACTTTGCACCACTAATATGAGAAACAAGACATGTTTTAAATATTTTCATTATATAAAATATTTGGATGTTATAGATGACAGATTTTAGACAACATATGTTATCAATAAATTTAACATGTTTGTCTCTTTACGATGTTTGTCTTAATAAAATCTGCAAATTATTTGGTTTAACTCATACACAAATGTTTCTCTGAATGATCTCCATCTATTCATTTAGTAGATATTTACTGAAAATCTAATATATGCCAAGTGATGGGCATTTAATGGTGCGCAAGACCTAGCATTATGTTCTGGTCCAGGTGGGAAGGAAGAAAAAGAGAAAGGAAATGAATAAATCAAATACTGGCATTTGCATTTTGTAATGCAACTTTTTCTATGAAGGAAGCAAACAAAAGGAAGAGAAGACTATGTTAGGTAGGGGAACCAGGAAAGGCCTCTCAGAGGTAACAGTTATGCAGTCGTAAAAGGAGCTGGCCAAGCAAAGAATGCAGAGAAACATTCCAAGCAGAGAGAACAGAATGTGCAAAAGGAGGGCTGAGAGAAGACCAGTGTCATCGGAGCACCGTTCGCAAGGGGGACAAACGGTGCAACACGAGCTTGGAAATAAAGGCAGGTGTCAGATTATGCACGTCCTTGTGTGCCTTTTAAGAAGGATGGATTTAATTCTGAGTGAAAATGGGAAGTCATTGAAGGTTGTTAAGAAGGGGACTAATGGGAACTGACTCATATTCATTTCCTGGGAGTAAGAATTAATCTTTCTTTGAGTTACCTACTTCAAAAAGGTGGGGTTTTTATCTATAGTGTGAGGAAAGATAGGTTCCATTACTAATAATTTTTTTCCATTTTATTATAATCCCCTTTATGCAGCTTTTGTTAAAATAACACTTGCTGAAGTACCGAGAAAATCTAGGAATAAATTTCATATCCTGGTACTTGTGATAAAAAGTGAATTTTTATTCAGTAATACTTGTATTTTCTGTGTGAGTAATCTTAATTTTACTTTATGACCTTTCTTAGTTTTACTATTTTCCAAAACAGTAGAATATCAAAAAACATCTCAAAACTCAAAATACCAAAGTTATTGCCATTAGGTACCTTCAAGTCGATCCCAAATCATAGCGACCCGATGATACAGAGTCGAACTGCCCCGTAGGTTTCCTAGGCTATAATCTTTACGGGCTCATTGCCAGGTCTTTGTCCCACACAGCCACCGGGTGAGTCTAAACCACCAACTTTTCAGTTAGCAACCAAGCATCACCGCACCAGCAGAACTATCAACAGGATAGTAATTAGTTGCTCTTATATAGGTTTCAAAGAGTTATATTTTAGAAAAGTAGATAGGAGCTGGGTATGAAGGATAAAGCATTATAATTTTTCCCATTTAAAAATAATGAAAAAAATAGGATTCCTGTTAGCATTTGTGTGCTCTTTCTTTCTTTTTTAGGAAAAGATCAGAGACAATAATTGAGAGTTGCATCACTTATCCAGCACTCTTTGATGGAAACTAACAACAACTTCTAGGTGCTGGGACTACAACAATCAACAAAATGCAGCAGGGGAGTTCTTCACTCTTAGAAGACAGATAAATAAATATATGACTGTCTGAGGTCTATAAAGTTAAGTAAAGTAGAGGAAGAGGATTAAGGTGATGGGAGGTTGTTATTTCAGATAAACAAAAGAGAGGAAGGACTATCTGAGAAAGCAACATTTGAACAGAGACCTGAATTAAAGAAATGAACTGTGAGAACAAAAAGCAGATGGAAGAGCATTTCAAGCAAAGAAAAGTAAGTGCAAAGACTAAAGTGAGTACATGCTAGGTGGGTGTGGCTAACAACAAGGCCAGTATGGCTGGAGTACAGTGAGGGAGAGTGATGAGAGATGTCTAAAAGGTAAGTAAGGGGCAGACAGTGTATACTGTAGTGCCTCACAGCACATGAAAAGAACACCAGATTTTATTCTGAGAAAGATGGGAAGCAAATAGAGGGTTTTGAGCAAAGATGCTATGATCTGAATTTTTAAATGATCCCTCTGGTTGTTGTATGGAGAACAGACCACAAGCACCAAGAACGAAAATGGAGAAGCCAACTAGAAAGCTACTGAAATCAACCAGGCAAGAGCTGATGGCAGCCTGCAACAGGGTGGTAGCAGTAAACCCATTGCCCTTGAGTTGATTCTGACCCTATAAGACACAGTAGAACTGCCCCATAGGGTTTCTAAGGCAGTGATCTTTATGGAAACAGACTGTCATATGTTTCTCCTGCAGAGCGGCTGGTAGGTTTGAACTGTAGACCTTTCAGTTAGCAGGCAAGCCTCTGTGCCACCAGGGCTCTTGTGGTATCAGTCGAGGGGTGAAAGTGGTAAGATTCTGGATATATTTTTAAAGTTGAACCATGGTGGACATGGGAATCAATGTGGAAGATAGGAAGAAGTCAAGGACAATATCAAGGCTTTTGCTCTGAACAACTGGAAAACTGAATTGCTAACTGAAATGAGGCAGATAGAGAAAAGAATAGATATACAAAGAAATAATTTAGTTTGGGCAATGTTAAGGATGAGGCTGTTTTATTATCTGAGATGCACTGTGGGGAAGGCAGACAGATCTATGAGTCTGCAGTTAGGGGAGGACTAGGTTCAGGATATGATATAAATTTGGATGTTATCAGCATATGGATGAAATTCAAAGCCATAGGAATAAAGGAGAGTCCCTAGAAAGTTTAGTCTAAGAACCAATACTGGGACACAACATTTCTGATTATTAAGTTTAAGAGGAATGAACAAAGAAGACAAGCAAGGAACAATCATTGAGGTAGAAGGAAAAAAAAAAAAGAAAGTGGTATCCTATAAGGCAAGTAAAAAGTGTTTCAAGGAGAGTGATGAATTGTATTAATAAGCAGTGCTGAAAGGTCCAAGATGAGCACTGATAACTGAGCATCAGGTTTGGCAATTGTAGATCCCTGTTGACAACACTAACAGCAGTTCTGTATATTGGGGTGCAGGTAATATGATCAAAGTCAACATAAAGTGGTTCAAAAGAGAGAGGGGAAGAGAGGAAGTGGAGACAGCTACCTGCAAAGAGTAATTGTGAAATTAGGCAGTAGAAATGGGAGATATTTCAGCATGTTTGTACATTTGTGGGAGTGATGTAGTAGAAGAAAAACTGGTGATGCGGAAGAGAAGGAGGAACAAGCGCAGGAACCTACACTAGTTGAGTAATTGAGACGATGGTATCTAGCACATAGACATGGCTTAGAAACAAAGGCAGTTCACAGCAAATACAGATACAGATGCAGGCGGGCTGACAGATTTGGCAGAGGGAGGATATGTAAGTTCTCTTCTGATTGCTTTAGTTATATCAATGATATATGAAGCAAAATCATCAGCTATGAATGAGGAATGAAGACAGGATATTAGATGTTTGAGAAACAATCATGTGTGAAATATTCACTCTGAACAAAGATGAAGTGGAAATCTATGACAACTTAGATACCACTTAAGGTTAGTTGTTGTTGTTGTTGTTATGTGCTGTCGAGTCAGACCCGACTCATAGTGACTCCTCCTTGGGTTTCCGAGGCAGTATCACTACAGAGGTAGATTGCCCAACCAGTAGTTATAACATGTCTAAAGTGAGACCTGTCATTATCACCCTTCTCCAGTTTCTCATCTACTTCAGTGCATGTGCTGAGAAGCTAAAATTGGGATTTAACCAAAGTTAAGTTCCTCCAAGTTAAGTAGACAAAGGGAGAGAGATGCTAGGAAGGAATAAGATTATAAATCACGGTGCCTAAACTAAGTTAGGGCCCGAGTTTTGAAGAGAATAAGGTGAGAATATGCAAGGTGGTGGACAGAGTGGGATACCTGCTATACAGATTTTCAAGATTAATTAATAATTGCAACATAGAATGCATGAAGTATGAATCTAGGAAAATTAGAAGTCATCAAAAATGAAATGAAATGCATAAAGATCAATATTCTAGGTATTAGTGAGCTGAAATGGACTGGTATTCACATTTTTAGTTGGACAATCATACAGTCTACTAAGCCAGGAATGACAAATTGAAGAGGAATAGCATTGCATTCATTGTCAAACACACCATTTCAAGAACTCTCCTGAAGTACAACGCTGTCAGTGATAGGATTGTACCCATAAGCCTACAAGGAAGACTGGTTAATACTACTATAATTCAAATAAACACACCACAGCAAATGTCAAACATGAAGAAACTGAATATTTTTTAAACCAACTTCTGCAGTCTGAAATTGATCAAATGAGCAATCAAGATGCATTGATAACTATTGGTGACTGGAATGCAAAAGTTGGAAAACAAAAAAAGTAGGAAGATTGGTAATTGGAAAATATGGTGTTGGTGATAGAAACAACATCAGAGATTACATGATAGAATTTTGCAAGACCAGTGACTTGACTTATCCATTGCAAATCCTTTTCTTGACAACATAAACAGTGACTATATACATGGACCTCATGGATGAAATACACAAAAATCAAATTGACTTTATCTGTGGAAAAAGATAACGGAGAAGTTAAATATCATCGGTCTGAACAAGACCAGGAGCCAACTGCAGAATAGACTTTAATTACTTGTATGCAAATTCAAATTTAAGCTGAAGGAAATTAAAACAAGTCCGCAAGCTGAAGAAAATTAAAACAAGTCCACAAGAGCCAAAGTACGACCTTGAATACATTTCACCTGGATTTAGAAACCATCTCAAGAATAGAATTCACACACTGAACACTAATGATCAAAAACCAGACAAGTTGTGGGATGATATCAAGGACATCATACACGAAGAAACCAAAAGATCATTTAAAATATAGGAAAGAAAGAAAAGACCAAAATGGATGTTGGGAGAGACTTGGAAACTTGGTCTTGCACGTAAGAGTAGTTAAAGCTGAAGTAAAAGAGTTGAAGGAAGATTTCAAAGAGTATCTTGAAGAGACAAAGTATTGTAATGAAATGTGCAAAGACTTGGAGTTAGAAAGCTGAAAGGGAAG